TCTGTTGCTCAGAGACATAAGGAGCTTGTCCAAGGTCACACACCTTATATTGGTGATTCAAACCCATGCGATTGCCAAGCTGTGGCACCTTCCATTCTGCCTCTCAAAACGTACTTCTCTACCTCCAGTTACAGTTCACCAGACTATTTGGCTTGTTGCTAAGCCTTCCTAGCCATATCCAGTAATTTCAGAACTGGAGCTCCACAATACCTGGGACCATTCTGCCTAGAGCAGGGGTGGGAACGTCCGGGCCTGCGGGCGGTATAAGGCCAGAGAAATCATTTGGTCTGGCCCTGCCCAGGCCTTAGGGGTGAGTTAACTAAATGTCTGACCATTTAAAGCAGGTTAATTTTTAAGTTGATCATTTTGTATGGCCCAAGAATGATGTTATAAATATCCAAATGGTCCTTGGCAGAAAAAAAGGTTCCCCACCCCTGGCCTAGAGGAATCCCAGGGAGAGAATTTGGGGGCCTTTGGGAAAGGGGAGTTCTGTTAGACAGAAGCAAAGGGGATGATGCTAGCAACTAGCTCTGAGCACAGATGGCCACACTTTCCCATTCCACCCCCATCACTACATCCTCCTAGAACTGAATGAAGCTGGAAGAGGATATCACCTCAGCACCGGGCAGCAGGAAAGAAGTTGACCTCTGAGAGGGAGATAGCAGGGGAGGGGTTAGAGCCAGGGGAAAAATGGGAGGGGGTACCCGTCCCTAGCAGGAACAAAGGGCAGAAAAATTTCCAGCCATAGCAGGCTAGTCTTATGACTCTACCATGCTGCCTAAGAGAGCCAGGATGTACAGGGCTCTAGAAATTTATAATGTTTCGGGATGAGTATCCAGTTTGTCCACAGGGAAGCCATTGGTGGACAGCAGCTGTCCCTGAAGGAAGACCATGGGGCCTGGAGGACCTCAGGATGGAGGCTAAACGAACTGTATGTTAGGAAAAGTGCCAAGCCAAGATGAAGAAGTCTGCCCCTCACAGGCTTCTCCACAGGCCCCTGGCAGTGATCCACACCTCCCCTTCCCCAAATCTCCCACCTCCACCAGTAATCTCACATTCTAATGGAAAACATTGTGCTTGTACACAAAAGCCGTTTTATGGCACCTCATCTACACTGCTACCCCCAGCTCATCCTAGATAGAAAAGTGTGGAGCTACCACGAGCCTGGTTGTCTTCTGGGGGACCTGGAGGGGATTCTGTGAGTTTCTTGGCGTGTTGCAAGGGAGAAATCTCTCTCCTATTGTAATGGGGGTCAGCCAGAGACTTCTGACCTGACATGGTACCAGCTATAGCTGAAGGAGGAGGAGAGGATAGTGACAGAAAAACACTGTAGAATGCAACAGGCCTGGGGAAAGACTTCTTGGAAAGGAAGGGGCTGGCAGTGACTAATAGTCCTCCAGCTTCAGGATGGACATTACAGACCATGTGGAAGTTAAAACCAGATATGGTTAAATTAAAAAAAAAGATTTCCCAATGGGGAGGTAGGAACCAAATGCTACAACTAATGTCACCTCCTCTGGAGAGGGGCGGGGGGAGGTATTTCTAAGGGGAAAAGAGCTCTTCGGTTAACAAGCTTTAAGAGAAGGCATGTCTTAAGGTAGGAGGAGGGCCTACATAAACTTTGAAGTTATTGTCACACGAAGGTCCACTATGATGCTCACCCTCACTGTCTCCTTAACACCACAACCACCCTCCATCCCAACTGAGTCTCTCCTTCTGAAGCACCTGGCTGGCTGGCTACCTGCTATTTCTGCTTTTTCGGGAGGGAAGAGCTGGGTGTCTTCCCCTTCTCAAGGTCACAGCTGTCTGGGCTGGAAGGAAATCTGCTCCCTCCCCCTTCTGGGTGTTTGACCCTAGGGATTAGCACAACACATGGCAAACTACCTAGATGAGTCTCATCTATCTCATCCATTCTGTGCCTTTATTGAGGACTACTAAGTGTCAGAAGCTGGTAATGCACTAGTGATAACAATCGACATAAAGCATAGTCTTGTCCCAGTGGCCCTGAGGCTTCAGAAGACCCCAAAACGGAGGTCCTCTGTGTTTATACACTCTTAGAAATATTTCCAATACCTATAACCAACAAAGGACTCATATTTTAAATATATGAAGAACTCCTACAAAGCAGTAAGACAGAAAACCTGAGAAAACTGACCCCCAAAAAATGGATAAAATACTTGAACAGATATCCAAGTGGCAAATAAATATATGAAAAGATGATTAATGTCATTGGTTATCAGATCAATGCAATTTAAACCACAATGAGATGCCACTACACACCCACCGTAATGGCTACAATTTTTTAAATCTTTTTAGCTTGACAATACAAAGTGTTGATGAGGATGTGGAGCAATTGGAACTCTAAGATAGTACTGTCAGGAGTGTAAATTAACATGAGCACTTTGGGAAATTATTTGGTAGGTTTACTAACACTTAAACATATGCCTACTCTATCACCCAATAAGTCTGTTCCTAGGTATGTATCATAACAGAAATATAAGCATACATATACCAAAGGACACAAACAAAATTATTATAGCAGCATCCTATATAATAAAAGCCTAATATGCAAATTGTCCCCTCAGGTGGTCTTTCTACTGGGAGACCAACTGGGAGACTGGGAGTTCGACCGCTTGCTATGACATGCACTGACCACCAGGGGGCAGCACAGACCATGGTGGGCGTCAGCGATGTGGTGCTGGCAGCAGGTGGCAGTGGAGGTGCTGCTGACCCCAATAGGCCCCAATGAGAGTGGGACTGTGGTGGGATGGTGGAACAGGCAAGCAGGTGGCGCCAGGCCAAGGTGGGTACAAGCAGGGGCCTGATCACCCCGCAGGCCACCCAGAGGGACCCCACCCCTGCACGGATTCGTGCACCGGGCCTTTAGTTATTCATAAGAACCCAAACTGGGGACATCCCAAATGTCCATCAGTAGAATAACAGATGAATAAACTGTGGTATATTCACTTAATGACAAAATATACAGCAATGAAAATGAATTAGCTAATGCTACCACAATGTTATGCATTAATTTTACAAACATAATAGTGAAAGAAGCCAGGCACAAAATAACACCGACTGAATGGTTTCATTTATATAAAGTTCAAAAGCACACAAAAGTAATCTATGGCGTTAGATGGGGATTACCTTTGGGAAGGAGGGTGGGAAGTGACTGGAAGGGGATATAAGGAGGGCTTCCAGGGTGCCAGTAAGATCTAATTCTGATCTGGGAGGTGGTTATATGTGTATGTTCACTGTGTCATAACCTCTTGACCTGCACACGAAGGCTTTGTGCACTTTCCCATGTCTGGTATACTTCAATTAATTCTTTTAAAAAAGAACCCTAGCCAGTTTGATTCAGTGGATAGAGCATCAGCCCAAGGACTGATGAGTCTCAGGTTCGATTCCGGTCAAGGGCACATCAACCAATCGATGTGTCTCTCTCACATTGACGTTTCTT